AGACCTCAAAATCAGGAGATAAAGCTTAAATAAAAACGTAGCTCACAAGCAGATAAACCAATAGGAGATATTATAGAAACAGAAGGAAGAATGAGGGAAACCTCAAAGAGAAATCAATGAGCTTGGAATAAATATCGTAATATGGAGTGTTAGAACAAGAAGGGAAAGAAGAAATAGAAAAATCCACCAATCACCACCTGAAAGAGATCCTTTGAAGAAAACCTACAGTAATATCATAGCTAGATTCCAAAACCCCCAGCTCAAGGAGAAAATATTACAAACAACAAGAAAAAAAACAATTTAAATATGGCAGAGCCACAATTAGAATCATACAAGACCGACCAGTGCCTACACTAAAATACCACAGGTCTTGGAATACTATATATTGAAGAGCAAAAGAACTGGGATTCCAGGCTAAAATATCATACCCTGCAGTTAAGCATAATCCTGAATTTTAAAAAATGGACGTTCAATGAATTGCCAGACTTTCAGTATTTTGTTGCAAAAAGACCTGAAATCAATAAAAAATGTGACATACAAGATCCATGAGAAATATAAGGTAAATATCAGAGGCTAATTATAAGGTACTCAATAAGGACAAACTATTTACTTTTTATATGAGGAAATGTAAATCATATGTCTAAGATTGTTATTAGTAATTGAGTAATTCAAAAGAAAGATTGGGGTAGAGCTAAGTATGATGTGATATTAAAAAGTAAACTGTCTAGGAAAAGGTAAAAAGAGTAATTATCTTATTCAAATGAGATGTGAGAAGAAGAACTGACACAGAGAAATTAAATGGTGTGGAGGAGGGTTGGTAGTTCTAGAACCCTATTCTCATCAGAAATGTATTAATATGTGTGTGTGTGTGTGTGTGTGTGTGTGTGTGTGTGTAGGCATAAAAGTCTTCTAAATTCAGAAATAAATAAAAGGCTAAGGATATAGGGAAGGGGGAGAGGATAAGAGAGAGATTTTAGGATTGGGGGAGAGGATAAGGGAGGGATCTTTGGTGGGGGGAGGTTAAGTAATAGGAGAGCAAGGTAGCAAGTAGATGTAAAGTAAGAGGAGTCAGGAGGGATAGGAAATACACACAAACATAAAATAAAGATCAGGAATAGAATTTATTAGGGAAAAAGCAGAATAGTAATCATGATCTCAGACAAAATTAAAGCTAAAATAGATTTACTCAAAAGAGAAAAATAGGGAAATTAGACTATATGTCAGCCATATTAATCAATATTGTTTTAGACTATTTAAAATAACTAGACAGTATAAAGTTGGAATATTGCTCTGGTATAGGAAATGATGAGTTGGTAGACTTAGAAAAGTAGTGAAAGACTTGGACCTATGAAGGAAGATGTTATCCACCCTCACAGAAACAGAGGACAAACAAGTATAATACGGTCTTACATAGATACATATGAATGTATATGTCTAAATATGAGTATTATTATAGATATCTAAGCATATGTATGTGTATGTGTATATGTGTGTATAGGTGCGTGTGTATATATACATATATACATATACATACACACACACATATTTACTACACAGACATTCACCCTTCCTCGTAGCCTTCTAGGGGGAGGAGGGGAGAATGAGGGAGGGGAAGAACAAAGTAAAAAGTGCACAGCAGGGAACAAAAGAGAATTTACAAGGAAGCAAAGGAAAGATGGACAGGTCCGAACACAATACGTAGTATTTATTATATAGGCTTTATTGAACTGGAAATGTATTGCTGTATATTTTGAATCCTCTCTTACATTCTGCTGTGCACATAGCAATGTTTTTTTTTTCTTTTCTTATTTTGTATTTAAATTTTAGTATTTAAGTTTATAATATGTTTCTTTTCTTATTGTGTATTTAAGTTTAAAATAAATTTTTAAAAAATCATTAGGCATTTTTAAAATGACCTCTTAGTTTTGTTCATCAGTTCCATAGTCTTTTTTACTTTTGAGTTTCTCTTTCACCTTTAATTCTCAGTGTTTCTACAAGTTGTCATAATTTATAGGATCACACCTAGAGCTGGAAGAAGCCATTTGGTACAGCACCCCCACCTCCTTTTTACAGATGAGGAAACTGAGGTTAAGTGACTTGCCTAAAGTCACATAAATAGTAAGATAGCTTTTGAATTCAGGGGGAAATCGGTATGAAATTTAGAAAGTACATGTGACAAAGGGATACCTCAAATCACCTAGAACTCCTTTTGCTACAATCCTAAAGATGTTTGCCTTAGTTTTTGTCCAATTTTTCTTCTGAACTCTAGAGTCTTGAATCTTTATCTGGTCTCTCTGTAGCTTCTGCTGACACTGCTGTAAGCTGACTTAGGAACACTGCTAAAATACCAGTGGGAAGAGGGGGAGTCTTCCATGTCTCTGGAGCTCACTGTGTCCATTTCTGATCAAGATGTGGAAGGAGAAATGGGAGAGGAGGAAGAAGAGGAAGAGACTAAGACTAAGATGAAGGTCTAGGCTCTGCACCTCTCCTCTCCTTCCACAGTCACCCAGCAGATACAGTAACTAGAATGCTCATTCCTTTCCCCTTAACTTGAATCTCTAATATTCCTAAGTAACTCCCTGGTTTCATACAGGCTCTATAGGGAGCCAAATTTTCTCGTTCAGGGAACACTTCTAGTTCATCCACTGACCTTTCCCACCTAGTTTAAAGTCTCTGATTTATTCACACCTCTAAGTTGATTGATTTGATTCATATGTCTTCTCACCTGAAAACGTATCAGAGCTCAGTAGGATGAGATGATTTTGACCTCACACTTATAGTATACATTTATTTCCTTAAGAGCTTTAATTCCTGTTCTTATTTAATGAATGATTTAATTCTTTGATTGCTGTTCTGGACCATTGTGGAGGTTCTTAGAGTTGTGCCATTGTCATTTCAAGGGGTCTTATATATTTTCTTGTGTTGTGTTACTTTCACCTTTCTCAGGGGATATTGACCCACTTGCCTTTGCTCTAAGTTTCCTGTTCTTCAAAATGGCTCTTTTCTTCAATTGACTCTTAATTTCTCCTCTATTGTCTGCTTTTATCTGTTTTCATTAGTCACTGCTGATTTTTCTATTGTGTCTTTGCCTTGAATGTCTTTCTTACTATCACTCTTTTCCCTCCTATAGCCAGTGTTGATTTATGCCCCTTCCATGACCATTGCAGCCTGTTGTTCTCTGTTCTTTCAGATCACCAGGGTTGGATAAAATCTGTGACCCTTAAAGGATTAAGGTGGTGCTTTGAAATACAGCCGCAAGGAGACTGAGAGGCTTTGTAGCTGGTCCTGTCTTCTACCTTGTCTTAAACTAGTCTCTCAATACTATGTGTTGTATCTCTCAGCAACTAACATTCCTCACACCTTAGGCAAACCACAGCAGGGAGGAGTGGTCATAAAGATGAAGGTATTGATGAAGAACATTGTTAAGAATCATTTAGCATAGGGAAAGATGAAGTGATGATCAGAAAATGGCGTTATGGAGCTCGTGAACATAGAAGTGGAGCACTTGTGTGTGATGGCAGGGGCAAGAGTAACTCCGTTTCTATATGTAACTGAGGCAGAGCAGAGGAACAGATCGTGGAAACTGAATAGATGAGGAACTGAGGAGTTAAGGTATTTGAGGGAGCGTCAGTACGGATGTTGAAGACCCCTCATATGAGGGCAGGATTTGGGGTAAAGACGAAGATCGTCGTCTAGATGCTAAACTCATTGAGGAAAGAAGGAGAATGTCCTGGGAGGCTGATAGACTACAGACACCAGGATAAATTTGAGTAGCCTGAACCGCAAAGGGAGAAAGTTGGTAGAGTGGTGATTGTAGAGCTAGAGTCTGGAAGTGAAAATGGGGAGCAAAAAATATTGCAGCTTTCCTACCATAACCAGTGAATTGGGGAATATGAGAGGAAATGTAACCAGTACTCGAAATGGTGGCCACAGATGCATCATGAGAGAGTCAGAGTGCCAGAAGATGGAAGGAATGAGAAAAGGAAGGGTTTATTATGATGAAAGGCAATGTATTAATTATGAGACAGGCGTTCCAGAAAGTACAGTGGAAGAGGTGGGTATATCTGCAGTGGGGCATGGTTAGGAGAGGGTTCAGTTGAGGAGTGATAAAAGTAAGGGAGTGGGCAAGTGGGTTGGGAAATGGGGTTTGTACTTGGGCAGCTGGAGTTTGGAAATTGCTTCGATGGGAAGAGAGCATCAGAGTGTGGGAGTATGCTAAACTTTGAGAAATAAATCAGGTAGAGTATCAGTGGTGGGGAAAAAGTCTATTGAGGGAGACCAATGATTAACTAGCTTTACTTTCAGATTTCTGTATTTACATAATGTACTTTATTCTGTCCCCAAGTCATTTTAACATCCTCTTAAGTTCTCCTCTTGTTAGAGGTCAGAAATAAGTATCTAGGATGATGGCTCCTGAAGCCAGCAGAATACAATTTCCAACAGCCATAACTTTTCAACAAGGGAACAGAATGTCTACTTAGAAAATGGGCTCCCTGACACTAAAAGAGTTCAAGTTAGATGCTGGCCAAGCACACGCCAGAGATGTTGTAAATTTGATGTGAGACTAAACTAGATAACCACAAAGATTCCTTCCAACTTTTTGATTTTGTCATTCAATATGGTGTGTCATTCCATTAAAAAAATCATTTTCAGATGATGATAAGAACTCCCCAAAGAAACTAGTACACTTGAGTATTTGATTTCTTAATAAAGGTGTCTGTGAAAATACTTGATTAAAAGTTTATTTCCCCCACCCTGAGGTCTGAAATAAATTATTAAAATAACTGATTTTTATTTGATTAGTATATTTGATGGCTGTAGTTGAAAGAGCCAAAACACTGCATTGAAAAAGAAGAGGGAGAAAATTAAAATATAGCAATACAATCGTCAATCCTTTCTGTTCTATAGCCTAAGCAAGTTTTTTTCCCTTTTCAAATCTCTTTTGTTATCTACTCAAGATTCATTTTAAATTAATCTTTTATTTTGCTTTATTCCCAAAGGACATCCATTACTTTGCAATAGATAAGGGTGAATTGGCGCTAGCTGAAGTGGCAAAGAAACGAGCTAACGACATTGATGCAGAATCAATAACTACTGGAGTTGGTAAGAATTAATACTGTTAAAAAAGCCTTTTTTGTTTTAATCAATACTTGCTTTGAATTGTTATTATGCCTGGTTTCTAGGACACTTGGCTAATTTGAATTGGTTTCTTGGGAAAAAAGAAAAAGCATCTTTATTTAGGTAAAGAATTAAGCTTCTGTCACTAGTACAACTTTGATGCAAAGATTGGAATGGTGCTAATTAATAAGCAGTGATTGCTGCAGTAACAATAGAGAAAACAAAAAAATTGCTTTTATTAATGGGACTTGGTAGAGATTGCATATTAACATCAATGGTGTTAATATTAATATATTTGGGAGCTTAGGTAGATATATTTCAAGTTTGAGTGAATCTTCATTTCAAAGTTGATGGAAGTAAGATCCTTTTATTGTGCATAGAAGTGTGCACATGTAGACAACTCCAGGCTTCTGCCTGGACTGGGTCCATAATTCCCTTATCAAAGCACTTATTTCAAAACCACACGAGTGAAATTGAAGATTCTTTCTGCAGTTACTCTGTTTGGGCTTCCTGCTGCTTTGTCCAATTTACCTTCATTTTGGACCTTGTGCATTAGTCATCTCCAAGTCTCATCATGGCGTAGAGGTGAAAGTGACTAATTTCTCAGCAAGGGGCAGAAAGTTAGTCTCAGATCAACTAATTACCCTCATCTCAAGATATAACCAAAGGGGTTAAACTAAATGTGAAGATGGATGAACAGTAAGAACAGAAAATAAAGGGGATGGTAATGATGAGGTGTTAATGTATGACAAGTTATTAACACCCTACTACCCCTTTACTAAGTGAATTAGTTCCAAGAACTAAGAACCAGAAGCACAGCTTGCCATTGGCTAACAGAAGATTGGCCATGCCTTAGATTGCTTTTAAAAAGCTATCTCGCTAAACTCTGGAGTCAGTCATACTTGGAGCAGCTTTGTGGAAGGTGACTCTTGAGTCTATATCAGGGAATAGCAAGGGTTCAGGTCCAATCAACCATGGAATCAAAACTACTTATTCAGTAACAGACTGGTACTACATCTAGCAGGGAGGAGAGTTAAACACTCTCTAGACTCCCAGTGATGCAAAGAGGAAGTCAAGCAGAAAGCTTGAGGCAGGAAGCAGTTCCCAGGAACAGGAGCTCTGGCAACAAAGAAGAGATTCAACTCAAGAGAGCTATCCAGGGTTAAGCATGGAGACAAGGGGACCTTGAGAGCCCTGAGTCCACTTTAGCAAGCCACCCAGAAAGGGTGATCAGCTCAGAAGGGAGCAGCAGGAGGATATCACAAGGAGAATGAAGGTGTCTTTCCCATGTCTATGCTTCACTGTTTATTGTAATTTGTGCCAACTCTTCCCAGGTAATCTGTATCTGTGGAAAGTACATCCCAGGTTTATGGGGGAGTGTTTTGTAGCTACTATTCTTACTGTGACATCTTAGTAAATGCCATTGCTTTGAATCAATTGTATCTATTAAATGACTGTTAAGAGAAAGATCACTGGAAGGGGATCATGAGGTATAGTTTTAGGAGTACAGATCCATGGGGTATCCTAGGACCTTGGAGTAGCAGCTACCTTTAGGGTACCCAACCTGTGATACAAATGCCAGTTATGGGGGGTGTCCTGGAAGGAGTACTGCAGTCAGTAATTATGCCAGCAGAATGCATGTTATGACAGATTCTAGTAAGCTGAAAAAGTTTGGGTTATGGCCCTAGCAAAACACTATATCTTCTGTATAAGAACCTCTCCATACCAAGTATGGAGAGGCTTATTAAAAGAAGATTTGCCCCTAGATGTTGACTTTTTGGCCATGGTAACTCATTTTTTTTTAAATTTTTAGGCAATTTGGGGTTAAGTGACTTGCCCAGAGTCACACAGCTAGTAATTGTCAAGTATTTGATCTGAGGCCACATTTGAACTCAGGTCCTCCTGAGTTCAGGGCCAGTGCTCTATCTACTGTGCCACTTAGCTGCCCTATGGTAATTCGTTTTTTAAAAAGTAACTAAATCACCCTTAATCTTGTACTCACTTCTACTTGGATAATTACAGAGGTGAAATGACAGAAAAGAATGGAAAGAATAAGTCTTTTAAACCACTCATAAATAATAATTTACTTGATTGGCAGTCTTTGTTCAACTTCTATTGCATTAACTTTTGCTAAGCAACTACTGTGTGAAAGGCATTATGATAGGAGATGGAAATATAAAGACAAAAATAAAACAGTCCCTGCCCTCAAGGAGCTTACCTTCTCCAATGAACAACTTGCCACTCTAATAATGAGAGAACTGAAGCATGTCCAAATTAACATTCTTATTACAAAATAAAACCAGGAAATCAAAAAGTTTCAGCTAAGTGGCTCGTAGGTTCTTTTCCAAGACACCAATAAAGGAGTTGTTTTCATCATGCACCCAAAGATAAAAACATCATTTTAGGAAATACCTGGTCATCTCACTTTGCAGTGCTCATTATGGAATCACACAAACATACCAACGTGAAGTGATTATAGTTTATGTACCAACATCTTTTATAGAAAATAAAATAGACAAATTCTTTGAAATACCTTATTAGACCATCCAATCTAAATTGATGTTTATTTTGGCAAATCTATGTTGAAAAATACAGTCCACGATTAATTAAATGAAACAGACCATATTCTTATGAAATACTCAGAAGCTTTATATCTGTCTGTACATCAAGAATGTTTTTCAAGAAGAAATTGAATGTGACAAGCACTTACTAACATCATTCAAAAAATGAAATTGACTCACCTTTGATTTTTTTTTACTTTTTATTATTATCAAACATAAACAAACATGAACATTTCCATTTACAAAAAAGCTGAAAATTTTGTATGAATCAATGAATCTTGTTTATACACTTACATGATTTTTGGTTAAAGTATTGTGGTTTTTTAACATTCATTTTTTAAAATTTAATTCATTTTTTAAATTAAAATTTTCTCCCTCCTTTCAGCCCCTCACCCACCCTTTGAGAAGGCAAGTAATATAATACTCATTATACATGTGAAGTCATGCAAAATGTATTTCCATATTAACTATGTTTCAAAAAATAGCAAGAAAAATAAAGAAAGTGAAAAATATTCTTCAATTTGCGTCAAGAATGCTTTAGAATTGTTGTGGATCATTGTATTCATCAGAGAGCTGATCATCGTTATGATGTTATTGTTATTGTGTATAATGTTCTCTTGCTTGGAAGCCCAAAGGACTATAAAACTATGCATACCCTTTGATCCAGCAATACCACTTCTAGGTCTGTATCCCAAAGAGATCATAAAAAAACAGGAAAAGGACCCACATGTACAAAAATATTTATAGCAGCTCTTTTTGTGGTGCCAAAGATTTGGAAATTAAGGGGATGCCCCTCAATTGGGGAATGACTGAATAAGTTGTGGTATATTAATATAATGGAATACTATTGTTCCATATTGTTTCCAATAAGAAATTATGAGCAGGCAGATTTCAGAAAAACCTGCAAAGACTTACACAAACTGTTGCTAAGTAAAGTGAGCAAAACCAGGAGAACATTGTACGCAGTAACAGCAACATTGTGTGATGACCAACTTTGATAGACGTAGCTCTTCTCAGCAATGCAAAAGACAATTCCAAAAGACTCACAATGGAAAATGCTATCCACATCCAGAGAAAGAACTATGGAGTCTGAATGCAGAGCAAAGCATAGTATTTTCTCTTTTTTTCTTTCTTGTGGTTTTCCCCTTTGGTTCTAATTCTTCTTCACAACATGACTAACGTGGAAATATGTTTAATATGATTGTAGATGTATAACCTATATCAGATTACATGCCATCTTGGGGAGGGAGGGGGAAAATTTATCTTATAAAAGTGAATGTTGAAAACTAAAAATAATTCATTAGTGAAAAAGACAATCTTCTCTTGCTTCTGCTCATTTCTCTTTATATCAATTCATAGAAGTCTTACAAGGTTTTTCTGAAACCATCCCCTTTGTCATTTCTTACAGCACAATAGTATTCCATCACAATCATACCACAACTCGTTCAACCATTCCCCAAATGATGGGCAATCCACCCAGTTTCCAATTTTTTGCCACCACAAAAAGAGGTGCTATATTTTTATAAGTACATATGAAATTTAACATGGTAGTTCCAACACTACCTTGTTCATCTATGTTGGACTTTTAGAACTTCCTTCTACTCTTTTTTGGTATATTTTAATTATTTCATTGACAATGTTTTCCTTTTTTTTTTTAAAACATTACTATCACCACTTCCCAATAACCCTCCCATACATACATACATACATACATACATACATACATACATACATAGCCTTTCATTGAAACAAATAAATATAGTTAAGCAAATCAAATTCAGACATTGGCCACATGTGACAAAGTATGTTTCATGTAGCGCCTCTGGTTCATCACACCTCTACCAAAATAGAAGATGCTTAATCATTGGTCTTCTAGAATCTTAATTTTTTTTTAATTTTTTTTTTGGCTAGGCAATGGGGTTAAGTGACTTGCTCAAGGTCACACAGCTAGTAAGTGTTATGTGTCTGAGTCCGGATTTGAACTCTGGTCCTCCTGAATCTAGGGCCAGTGCTCTATCCACAGCGCCACCTAACTGTCCCGGTCTTCTAGAATCTTGACCGATCATTGAATTGATCATCATTCTCAAATCTTTCAAAGTTATTTTCCGTTATAATGTGGTAGTAGACTATATCTTAATGGACACAAAGTGACTAGTTATTGACATAGTAGTCACTTCAGAATCAGCTCTCTTTGTGTGATGGAACCAGTTGGTGAAGGCAAAAGTCAACATCAATTGACCTTCTCTTAGCAATCTCAGAAAAAGCATAAAGAGGAAAATACAGCATGATTACAACAGCACTAGCCAGACCTTGTTCCAGAAGCTGTCAAAGGGAAAAAAAATGGGAAATGGACAAAAGTAAAGATATCATCTCTGATTCACCATTTCTTAGAAAGATTTAACATATGCAAAAGAATTGCCATAA